TGCTGTTGAAATTTCGTACCAGAAAATAAAGAGACGTAAATTTTTTGTCTCTTAAAACACTACACAATTCTTTTGTATTTTTCGTTTTATTTCCAAATGCAAAAACGATAAGTAACAATGATCCAAAAGGTCTGGTTAATACAATCTTCTAGATACAAAATTCTTTTATGCAATCTAACAGTGTATATTGTTAGGCAAATTCGTCTTTTTATACTGTTCGAGGTGGCGTCTAGAAATTCTAGCCACTTCTATTTGTTGTTTATTCTCTTTTTCTTCCTATATTCTAAAATAAGTTCATATACAAAAAAGCCAGCTCTTCAGCTAGAAACCAGAAAGATCGTTTCGGAGCTTTCATTCTAGTACGATCATGATGTTATTTCTGGCGCTATACCTTGACCGTCTTCTATGAAATGTAAAAAAAAACTTGTATAAAGCGCTGGAATGTGTACATACATAAAAAATGTTTCAAAGTTCTCTCTATCTTTATTTTAATACTTTTAGTTATCAAAATCGCGCTGGGCGCGACACTCACGGCGAAAAAGTTCGGAAATAGCTTTTCTGGCTCGACCGGCCGCCCCACGTTGCGATTTTAAATTTATTTGTTCTTTTTCTTCTTCTTCGCCATTGTTAACAAGTGTTATCTTTTCAACAATTTTTTCTTCTTTGTTGATACATTCTAAGGGATACAGTAGTTTTATCGATCGGTTAAATTGTTTGCCCTTTGACGTACGCACTACCGCCGACCGCACTTCCCCGTCCGGTCCAGGCAATATACGTTGAACCAAACCAATTTTCCACAATCCTCTAGGCAAATTTTCTTTGATCAGAACTGCTTGACCAACTTGGGGTACATCGCAAGCTGCACCTCGAATTTTGTTTTCATTTTTTCTTTCTCGAAGACTAAGTAGATAATCATCTCGAAATGTTTTCCAAAAAATATCTAATACTTTGGGATCTTCCTTGAGTTTTTTGAGTAATGTTTCTGACGAATCTTCTTTTAATTTAAAATCTGCATCGTCCTCGTCAATATCGATTTCTGGAAACCCAGTGCGATGATCGATACCCAGAAATAATGCTGGTGTTAATGTAATTCCATCAACCAATGTCGAGCCAACAAATCCGAGCGGTCTCGAATTGATGACCGATTCGACTTCGATGACCACCGTTTCCAACTGTCGATATGTAAGAAGATGACTGTCTATTGTTTTCCTTAAATTTCTTTTCACTACAACGAATTAGTGTCCGTAATGGAACAAGAGAAGTTATAGTGGGTAATAAGTGTGGTGAAGGAGGAACAGACTCTGAACATTTGAATCGTCCCTAGAGTTTAGCCTTTGACTCACAATATAATTTGTATATGAGTGATACACAAAATCAGCGTGTCCAAAAGTTTTCTAGACTGCGTTTGAAGCGTCCATCCCAAAACGAGCAACGGTTGAATCGCGTTTTATTGTAAGATGCACCTAAAGCAGACGTGCACGATAGGTAGTTGTTCGAATAGCCCTTTGTCTTTGAAATGAGACTTCATATCAAAAGTAGATACCTAATATTGGACCAAGTCCTGCAGAGCTGCAAATCGTCAGTGGGACATTTATTCCAAAACCGCATGTATTACAACTTCTGGAAGGAAAAGAATTAATTGGCAGAAATAAACATGACACAGGATGTAAAGTTAAGCAGCTGGTGGATTATACGACTAGATGGATTAAGCTTTAATAATATCCATCTGACAAGTCAGACATCTGATTTAAATCAATTAAATATGAAATGTGTACGGTTTGATCAGGTTTCAGTGATAAATGCAACATTTTTTGCAATGTTTTTGGTAATTGAAATTTAGATGGTGCATAATTTGTTAATGTTAATGTATCAACAGCAAAATTAACATAAAATCGAATAAAAGAAGCAGCATTCCATAACACAATAATGCCAGATGGAACACTGAGCAAGATAACCACAATAACTGAAGATATAGAGGTGATGGAGTTAACTACTGAGTTTGAGTATCAGAAGGTATATTTTTGTATAGGCCCTTTGCTATTGACAAAACCAAGAAAAAACCTGTTACTAGCCTCACAAGTACTCAATGCATATGTTTATGTGAAAGTAAGGCAGTAGCATTCTCCTCTTGATCGCTTTTTACTTAACAAACAGCATTTATTTACCTGTTCGCCGCCGTTTTGTCCAATGTGGTTGAATCAGCAGCAATAAGTCCAACCACGATAATGATAAAAGGTACTATCCTATCTAAATTTTGTTATCTAAAGCTAACTAAAGCTCGGTTATTCGTGCCCATAAATAGAACGCAGTTTATTACAAGCTTTGCAGCCTAAAATAGCATATGCTGTTCCACCTGTTAATTTTCTAACGAATTTTTCTGTCTTCTGTACCTTTTGTAGCATCTATTTCTGCTTATGAAGTATCGGCAACAAAAGCTAGTGATAGCCCAATATTTACATCGGCAGGTACTACGTTTTGTTTGCTTCTTTCATCTAATAAATGTTTCAAAACAAAAGTTCAAAAAGGCTTTTCTGTTGCGGAAAGCTTCGAATCTTTTTATCAACCGGGTTTTCGAGTGACCTAAGAATCCACATACTTATATTTCTGTATTTCAGGTACAGACACTACGATTATACAGTCTTTGACAGCACATGTACTGTCAGCTATATCAACTGAGTCATCACGTACAACAATAACGATCTCTACCTCGAGTGAAGGTAAATTTTGTTCTTTGTGTTTTTATTCAATAAACCTCGAGACTTTTGCAAAAGTGTGAAAAGATTAGTGTGGTGCTCACTAGGCCTATTCTCGCTCTCACTCTAATATCAAAATGCGTTGAAACAGTCACAATTTCAAGTCTACGGGAAAAATTGATCAATTATTATTCATCGTTTTTTTGTCAGGAACAACAGAGTCCCGGACACTAACACTGCCAGTACTTAACTATATTACATTGCATCAATATCTGCACCAGTAGTATTGGGCTGTAATGCTCAAAACGGCGTTAGTACGTGAAAACCTGGTTTAGCTCTTAGCCAACTTAATTCTCCAGCTATAACATTTGTGGATATTTCAAATAATATTTATATAGCCGATACTGGAAATGATCGAATTGTAAAACATATGACGACTGGATTAGTTTGCGGTAAGACAAATTCGTGGTCACTATAACTTAGTTTTATCCAATTATCACGTTTTTACTATCTAATTCAGATAATTTTATAACTTTTCGACTTTTTATGGCAAAAAACTTATACAATAGGTAGAAGTATATCACTTTTCATTGTTGGCATTAGATACTAGCTCGCTTTCCTGGCATAACTAAAAAATGCATTGGTTATTGGTAAAATGTGTAAATCTGTTTATTTTTTGTTGCGTATTATTTTTTCTTTCATGGCTCGCAATGAATATACATGAGGAAAAGTGAATCTGACTTCTGTACGGCAGTATTTGCTGCTGTCGGTACAAATGACGATATCTTTAGTCAGAATTCATTTGGATGTTTGATTTTTTAATATATTTCACAAGAAAACTTGTCTTCAAGATAAATCATCGAAGCCATAAGAGTTTTCTTCGTTTCTTTCCAGGTAAATACTCTTCTTTTCTGTTTCCACTGACTCACATACGACACAAAACAAGTGACTACTGTTACCTTTTTCTTTCTTTCTATGTGCGTCATTGTTTTCTTTCTTTCCATGTGCGTCACTTTTTTCTATTTCATTCCTTTTAACGAAGGAAAAAACCATTTTATATTAAAAGACAATGTACTAAAAATTCGCATTTATATTTAGGTATACACATGACAGCCACAACACTTGCATAGAATTTCTGAAGCATAAGGTAATACTACAACGTAATCTGTGCACAACTATTAGGTGTTTAGCGTGTTTGTACTTCTACGGCTGTATAGAAAACATATCTCACAACATGTCCAAAGATAACACTGTGACATTTTTGATACAGTAATTTGAGGTTTTCTCCAAAACTATAAGATCTAGAAAGTTCGTTTTCCCGCCATTCGATGCGGCTCTTCTTACTCTACTTTGAAAACAAAAACGAATATTTTTGGTTAAAGACTCGAGCTTCCAGAAAACCTTTTTAGACCAATAACGCTATGATAAGGCCCTAAATTCGAACTACTCCTCATTAAAGTGCAAATTTCTGCGAATTTAGAAGAGCTAATAAAAAGTGTGTCCAGAAAAGTTTATAGAGGAGCTAACGAACTGTCGTTTGGTAGAAGGAACTTTTTCCAAACCCTTCAGCACGCCTAGAAAGCCGATTTTGTAAAATAACGCTCTGACATTTTAGTACTACTGTGACACTTTTTGTCGTACCATTTTTAGGCACTAAACGTTATACGAAAAACTTCATACTTATAATCTGTGTAGTACTAGGTTTTCTGAAAAGATTCCAGTTAAAAATAAACTTCAAAAAATTCTCTGAGGCTTTCAGGTCAAGGCGGAAGTAGAATCGTTCGAGCAGCCACTGTGTCTCCGCTGGAAATCGATCTCAAAACAAAATGAAGCCACTTTGTAGAGAAAATAATTCTCTATTCAGTGATATGTTTTTAAAAGTTTTTGAACAAAATGTCCGGGTCAGAAAACTGAAATTAAAGTTTTTAAAAATTTTAAATTAAAAGTTTTATATTGAAAATTAATTTTTTCTTCAAAAAAAGTCAGACTCGTGATCAGCATGAAAAGCTGCGCCTAGCGATGTGCCACTAGCGATTTTCCGATGAAAAAAATTCAAGAAAAACTTAATGAGTGAAGCGTTACGTGGACAAGCCGCTCAGAATGTGTCTGAATTATGGTCAGCGTCATATGATATCATTTCACAACAGAGAACGCTTTGAAAAAGTGTCAGAAACAGCATTATCAATTTTATTTGAGTTTTGTACGCAGTTAATCTTTATTTTAGTTATTAATTCTTTCAGATAGAAAAGCACATCATTATGGTACTATTTACATTAGAATTATTGGCTCCATACAATGAAGCTGCTGCTCTTCGTACATCATTTTTGCTGCTCTGTTTCTGAAGGTAACAAAAAGCTGTCATTGTTCTTCTAGGTATCAAAAATGCCAATGTACAACAGTTCGGGGATGATATCATAATGGAGAAAAGTAATCTTTGCTTTTCAAGTAATCTCTGAAATAGTAGCTCAAGTATTCCATACTTTTTACTTTTTTGCAGATGAAACTGACGGTTATTTTCGAACAATAGTTGATTTAGATGACGGTTTTTATCATTATCAATTTCGAGTTGTTACGAAAGTAAGCAAAGAGTGAAGTTAACTACAGCCGCAGCTTTGTCAACAGTTAATGCGAGAAGTACAGGCAATGAAAGTTCATCTGCGTTTTTAAATGGACACGAAATATTGTGTGAAAAAAATAGTTGCGTAGAAACAACTTGACCTTTCTGTTTTTGCATGCAGATTAAAACTTTTCTTTTAGAGATGTGTGTCTAACATCGATTATCTCCAACTGTAGTAGAAACTCAACAGTGCAGATAAAACTATTTGTTTGTTTATCCTTTCTTACAGTCCTGGTTTCATACAGAACCGTTACCACCTCTTCTACTGCCGGATTATGATACAGATGAACAATATAGTACAATGAGTAAGTAACAGGATACTAGATGTCTTGGGAAGCATTCGTTGAAGATGCGTAAACTAAATAATTTGTTGCTCACCCACCCATGTCATCAAAATCGCCTAACTTTTGCCGATTAATCACGATTTTTCTGTTGATTTTCCATAGTGACAAGCCAAAAAATCGGCGATTAATTGTGCGATTTTTTTTTGCCTGTTACTATGGAAAACCAGCAGAAAATCGTATTTAATCGGCAAAAGTTAGGCGATTTTGATGACATAAGGATGCATAAAAAAAGTAGCCAGTGATGCTTAAAATTATTTGCATTTGTAGCTGATGAAGAAAAAGAAGAAAAATTAATTGAATATGCAAAATTAATAGATAAAATTTGTGAACAAAATCGACGGAAAGAACTGGATGTAAAGCATAAAACCATTTCTTATAACTTCATACCTGTTGCGACTTTCCTTCTCTTTTAAAAAAAAATAAATAGGCAACATATAAAGAACCTATCTGGAGTACATTTGTTGACCCTTACGCACGTGAAGTTGGAGAATGTGACGGTAAGCCTTGACGCGGAGCAATTACAAATTTCTAGTTGTCTTACTAATATATTTCGTCATTTTACAACTTTCTAAGATCATCTACATAAAGATGTTGGAATATTGAAAATTAAAAATGGCAAACGAATTGTTGGTAAACAAGAATTCTGATTCTAGTTTTCAATAATTCTATAATTATAATGCTCAATTTTTATCTTTTGTAGATGAATATGAATGGAAATATGATAACTGTCATCTTCCGTTAGATGAAGAACTAGTTATTTATGAACTACATGTAAGGCGTATACAATAAGCACGCCTCATATTTTATATTTCACTCAATGCAACGTACAATTGTCCATGCTCCTTTTTTTTTTCCTCAAAGGTTGGTGATTTTTCCGGTGGTGAGAATGATCGCTATACACATACACGTGGTCAGTTTAAGAATGTTATAGAAAAGGCTTTATATTTAAAAACATTGGGCATAAATGCAAGTGAGTAAATGCAAATACATTCCTGAATAAACTTCAAACTTTATTCGTTTCTATGTGTACTCTTTAAATTATAGTTGAATTAATGCCTGTACAAGAACATCCTAGCAATTATTGTAGGTCAGAAAAAAATACGAGTAAGGATTGAATTTTCATTTTCTCCTCTTTTCTCGCAACAGCATGGGGCTACAATCCACGGTATCTATTTGCAATTGAATCATCATACGGAACGACATATCAGATGAAAGAAATGATCGATGAAATGCATAAGAATGGAATTAGAGTTATTTTAGATGGTGTAAGTGTCTCGTCATTGACAAAAGATTGCTTACACCAAATAAAATTCTGATTTTTTTTAGGTTTATAATCATTCGGATTGTTCCTCACCATTAACTCAGATTGACCACGATTACTGGTGAATATTCATTGTTGTGATAAACCTTGAACAAAGAACTATTTCTTGTTCTCCTCAGGTACCATCATAATCCAAAAGATCGTAACTTCTCATGGGGACCAGAATGGAATTATTCATTTTATGATCAGAAATACAAAATTTGGCCAGCAAGAAATTTTGTTTGTAAGTATTTCTATATACTTTATAATGAGGATATCTACAAACGTGGCGTTTGTTGTAGGCGATTCAGTTCGTTATCTAATTGAAGAATTTCATATTGATGGAATACGATTTGATGCTGCCCGTCAGATACAACATTTTGATTTCCTAAGATGGATGACACAGGAAGCAAAAAAAACATCAGCAGCCCTTGGATTTCAAAAAATATTTTATACGATAGCGGAATTTTTACCAGATGAACCATGTAAGTACGCTGTTCTCACAGAGTAAATGTTCCACTTATATGACTGCGTACAAGCGGTAGTTGTGAACTACAAAAGTTACCTAATCGAATACAGCCTTTGTACTGATGGATTTGCATAGCTATCTCTTTTTTGACCTTCATAAGACCACAAAAAACCGTTAACTGACTGTCGTGTATCATTCTATTCTTTGTGTATAGGTATCACAAATGTTGATGGACCGATGGATGGATGTAAGTAGGAAAATGTGAGAGATAATAGGGCAGAAATGTGTGTCATTTTCTTCAAAACAGGTTGGCATGATTCATTTTATTGGTGTCTACGAGATTGTCTGTTGTATGATAATATTGATATTGAACGTTTAAAAAATGTTATTGATTGTCGACGACAAGGTTTTATGGGAGTGACAAATGTGGTTAATTATAGTGGTGAGAATGAGTAAAGAATTTTGATTGAAACGTATAGAAACACATTCATTAAATCTAAATTTAAGAGTTATAACGACTTTGCATTTACTGGGAATGCACCTGGAAAGTCGGTGCTCAGACTTTTGTGAATGAAATACACTTTTTGCATGGATTTTTTTGACATATTGTAGTAGGCTGAGATGGACCGATGTCTTCTTACCTTCAGGCTCGAGCAAGATTTTATGGTGCTTTTTATGGGACATACGTAGCGTTGAGGTGAATTTCTCAGTAAAATTAGTATATCTTTTCTTTACATTTGACTTTATCTAAAACTCAGCTTTGATGTCAAATTTTATCTGTTCCCTAGGTAACCATGATCATCATCGTCTATTGGTTGAATTAGGTAAAGAACGTAATATATTTGGTAAAGATGCGTTTCAACGTATTAGACTAGGTGCAATAATTCAAATGACAGCAATTGGTATTCCAATGATTTGGATGGGGTAACGAATTAGCGTATTGTAATTTATATGTGACGTGAGAGATCTCTATTCATATCTTGTATCTTATGTGTTTATAGAGAAGAGATTGGTGAATATAAATCCAAAACCTTGGATATGTCGAAAATTGATTGGACCTTAATTGAATATAAACTAAATAATTCAAATATATTAAATACTGATTTATTTGAATTTTATTGTGGTCTCTGTCGACTGAGAACTAAAAATAGTGCATTTTATAATTCAACAAATTTTCAGTTTCTACATCAAGATAATGAACGAAAAGTATTAGTTTATCATCGATGGTAGGTATTCCTGCTTCACTTCTAACTTGATCTTTTATATCGTACAACATCTATTTCTGTTTTAGGTCTGATAAAGGTGATCATATTGTAGTTATTCTAAATCTATCCAATGATTATCTGAGTAAGTGTTTATTAACTCAACTTGCTTTTTTGTGAAATTATGCATTATCATGGCAAGAAATACTTTATCCTAATTATCTTCCAACATGTTTTGTTTTGAAAGATCCATGGCCAAAAAGATGCCAGTTTTAACTTCTCCATTTTCTTTTATTTTTTAAGATGACCATAGAATACCAAATATCCCTTTGAATGGTAAATGGCACGAATGGACATTAAATTATGATTTATTCGTAGAAAATCATCAACTAACAATCAGTTTAACTAAACATGAAGGCAAAATTTTAGTACAGACAGTGTGATATTAGTGGAGAACGATAATCATTGGTGAACGAAGCAAGGTTTTATCTAAAAACACAACGGCTCCTCTGAAATTCAGATATTGTGTTATTCATGGGATACGTTTTTTGTAAATTAAGTAAAGAAATGAAAATGCAAAACCTTCGTCTGTTAACTTCGACATTGCTGTCAAATACATAGATAATCTGCTGAGAACGTAAAATACTTCTGCAGCGTTTGGTTCAAGTCTTTAGTGAAGGGTTTACTCCTCTCTGCGAAAACTTATAATTTGCGATACTTCGAACTGAAATAGAGTGTTACCACACTCAGCTATAAATACAAAAATTCCAGTTCAAATTTTAGAAGACAAAACCCTTGAAAGGTTTTCATGTATACTAGGAGAAGCAGAAAGAGCGCTCCGTTCTACTTTCGCACATCAACAATGATGACAGACAGACTTTTGCTTTAGTTCTGCTCAGTGCCTTTCAAATTGTTTTTCTTTCGCATCACAACTAACCAAAGTATACCAAGAAGCTGTTGCTTCAAAGCTTCCATTCGATATTATTTACATTTCGTGTGATCAAAATAGAGTGGATGAAGATTTTAGCCGTGGAAACTTTTTATGTTCCAACGTCGTATAACCGTACCGCTTTTGGAAGGTATTGACGGTATAGAGTATTGAGTATTGGACAACCCAAGCTAGTTAACTCAATAAAGAAGTCGATACATCTAAATAATCCAATATTTTACTCGATTCTGGATACCGAATTTCTGGATATCACGATACGAGCCAACTTTAAAAGAAAAACCGAATTAAGTAATGATCATAAAGATGGTAAAGCTATCAATACCGAAAACACCTTACAGGTGGATCCTAGGCCAACAAAGTAAATCTAAGACGACGGTTGAACATGACTGTGAAGCAGATTTGATCAAGATCTTGTAAAGATGAGATTATCTCGAATGTATCTATTCTACCTGTGAGACGTTTCGGTTGAACACCTTGTTTAATGAGATTGAAGTCTTGTGATTCTTGCTTTTGGTTCCACTATGAATTTATAAGCGGATTAACCGTTGCACTCACGAGAGAACCGTCCGAAGTGATTAATCGTTTTAACTATCTAACTACTCTTCTTATATGTAATCGACCCTACTAACTACGAATATGGAGTACGTTTTGGTTCAATGTCAGTTTCCCAGTCGGAATTAAAACACGGTGACTTGAGAGTTTCAAAAATTAGAATTGGTCGAAAAACTCAAACGAAAAAATTCAAAACGAAAATCAAAGCGAGATCTTGATATTAGATTTGCTTCGTTGGCCTAGGATCTACCTGAAAGGTGTTTTCGGTATTGATCGCCTTATCATCCTTATGATTATTAATTAATTCGACTTTTCTTCTAAAGTTAGCTCGTATCGTGATGTCATTCTTTTTTTCGTACGTACAGTAGACAGTTTTAGTTCAAAAGGGGCAGATGACAAACAGTAGAAAGAGTGAGAAACATCGCAGGTGTGTTCACGTTAGAGAGGTTATAATAACAGGAGGAACGAAAAAAAAATGTTCATGTTCAGAATACAGAGGTGTTTACGTTACAATGGTACATTTCCAGCAAAAATCGCTCTGTCGGACCTGAGAGCGTTCATAATAGTGCGGTATTCACCAATACCGGTTTCTCTCGGTTGTCTCTAACGTTGACTCACTACCATTAAGGACAGCAGCTCCTTAGCTACTTTTATTACTGAGATACAGTAGCCTTTGTTTGTCTAAATGTAAAATTGACTCTAGCATATCTCAGCTAAAAGTAAAAGCATTCTTTATCAAAAAAGCCATAGCGGTTTCAGTCCGCATCCCCGTCCTGGGGCTCGATCCGAAACAACACCCGGTCCGCGCAATATCAAGGTCCCGCTTTGATTTTCGTTTTGAAGAGGAGATTTTAGGCTGTCAGCCTATGAAAAAGTGAGCCAACGTTAGAGACATAAATTCAAAAAGAATTCACTGGAAAAAAAGTTATTGCATTTCACTTGTCGGATGTCAACGGTACAATACCAGGACAATCGTGCATATGTGTGACAATAGTTTTCGGATGACTCTGAAGCAACTGAAATATGAGGGCAACAACTCATTTTGATGAGTCGACGGATACATGACTATGCTCAAATGTTTTTTCCAAACATCTGCAAGTTTGCTAGGTTAAAAGTTTGAAGTTTTAGGTTTTTCACTACATAAAATTAATTAAAAATATACATTCAAACGATAAATTAATATCGGTAATAGAAATGTAAGTCAAAGATTCTAAAGAAATTTAGGAATTAGATTCGGCGGATTCTTTTTCTTTAATGAACAATATGAGAAAAGACAAAGCTGGCCCAGCAGTCATTGCATGATAGAAATCACCAGTCATGCTCGACTAATGTCTTAGATTGGCTTCTAACTAGTTCTGTCTTGTTCAGCATGTGTGAAAACCTATAAATCCAAAATGCCGCAATGAATGATGAAATCCGCAAAGAAATCTCTACAATCGTTGACTACCACAGGGGCAGTATTGAGAAATCATTCGTGAATATAGTAAAAATTATTTCTAAGCCAATTTCCAAATTCATTAATGATCGATGATCGGTTCGACAGCAACCGACAGCAACAATGAATGTATACCACGTTTGTGTTGAATAAGTTTCTTACTAAGTACAGATTTATGATGAGTAGTTTAATTCAGTATAATCTGATTAGCTTATAAGTAAATTGTACTGTATATGTGTATAAAAGTAATTAATTACTATATAGTTCAGTTAGTTACTGCTGAGTCTGGTATATTCTACATGTGAACAGTAGATATGCATGAAGAAAATAACAGCGAAGAAGAGCACACGAAGATGTGAGTAATTCAGGACGAATCAAGGCTAAAGCGTTTTCTCTCGGTTGTCTCTAACGTTGGCTCACTACCATTAAGGACAGCAACTCCGTAGGTACTTTTATTACTGAGATACAGTAGCCTTTGTTTGTCTTGTAAAATTGACTCTAGCATATCTCAGCTAAAAGTAAAAGCAATCTTTATCAAAAAAGCCATAGCGGTCTCACTCCGCATCCCAGTCCTGAGGCTCGATCCGAAACAACACCCTGTCTGCGCAATATTAAGGTCTCGCTTTGATTTTCGTTTTGAAGAGGAGAGTTTAGGCTGTCAGCCTAAAAAAAAATCAACACAATCCTAGTCGTGAGACATAAATTCAAAAAGAATTCAGTAGAAAAAAAGTTATTGCATTTTACTTGTCGGATGTCAACGGTACAATACCAGGACAATCGTGCATATGTATGACAATAGTTTTCGGAAGACTCTGAAGCAATTGAAATATGAGGGCAACAACTCATTTTGATGAGTCGACGAGTACATGACTATGCTCAAATGTTTTTTCTCAACATCTACAAGTTTGCTAGGTTAAAAGTTTGAAGTTTTAGGTTTTATACTGCGTAAAATTAATTAAAAATATACATTCAAAGGAAAAATTAATATCGGTAATAGAAATGTAAGTCACAGATTCTAAAGAAATTTAGGAATTAGATTCGAGGGATTCTTTTTCTTTAATGAACAATATGAGAGAAAGACAAAGTTGGCCTAGCAGTCATTGCATGAGAGAAACCACAAGTCATGCTCGATGCAGTATTGAGAAATCAATCGGGAATACAGTAAAAATTATTTCTAAGCCAATTTGCATATTCATTAATGATCGATGATCGGTTCCACAGCAGTAGTCGGTGGCTTTAACAATGAATGTGTACCTTCATAACAGCGTGGCTTCATGTGTGGTTCATGAATGTGTGGCTTCATAAAAGTGCGGTATTCTCCAATACCGGTTTCTCTCGGTTGTTTCTAACGTTGGCTCACTGCCATTATGCACAGCAGCTCCTTAGCTACTTTTATTACTGAGATACAGTAGCCTTTGTTTGTCTTGTAAAATTGATAGCATATCTCAGCTAAAAGTAAAAGCAATCTTTATCAAAAAAGCCATAGCGGTCTCACTCCGCATCCCAGTCCTGAGGCTCGATCCGAAACAACACCCTGTCTGCGCAATATTAAGGTCTCGCTTTGATTTTCGTTTTGAAGAGGAGAGTTTAGGCTGTCAGCCTAAAAAAAAATCAACACAATCCTAGTCGTGAGACATAAATTCAAAAAGAATTCAGTAGAAAAAAAGTTATTGCATTTTACTTGTCGGATGTCAACGGTACAATACCAGGACAATCGTGCATATGTATGACAATAGTTTTCGGAAGACTCTGAAGCAATTGAAATATGAGGGCAACAACTCATTTTGATGAGTCGACGAGTACATGACTATGCTCAAATGTTTTTTCTCAACATCTACAAGTTTGCTAGGTTAAAAGTTTGAAGTTTTAGGTTTTATACTGCGTAAAATTAATTAAAAATATACATTCAAAGGAAAAATTAATATCGGTAATAGAAATGTAAGTCACAGATTCTAAAGAAATTTAGGAATTAGATTCGAGGGATTCTTTTTCTTTAATGAACAATATGAGAGAAAGACAAAGTTGGCCTAGCAGTCATTGCATGAGAGAAACCACAAGTCATGCTCGATGCAGTATTGAGAAATCAATCGGGAATACAGTAAAAATTATTTCTAAGCCAATTTGCATATTCATTAATGATCGATGATCGGTTCCACAGCAGTAGTCGGTGGCTTTAACAATGAATGTGTACCTTCATAACAGCGTGGCTTCATGTGTGGTTCATGAATGTGTGGCTTCATAAAAGTGCGGTATTCTCCAATACCGGTTTCTCTCGGTTGTTTCTAACGTTGGCTCACTGCCATTATGCACAGCAGCTCCTTAGCTACTTTTATTACTGAGATACAGTAGCCTTTGTTTGTCTTGTAAAATTGATAGCATATCTCAGCTAAAAGTAAAAGCAATCTTTATCAAAAAAGCCATAGCGGTCTCAGTCCGCATCGCAGTCCTGGGGCTCGATCCGACACAACACCCGGTCCGCGCAAGATCACGGTCTCGCTTTGATTCAT